AGTTAGTGGACAGACAAAAGCATAATATAATATAATAATAATAATATAATATAATGGAATAATATAATGTAATTGAATATCGATCCATATACACAGCAAAATATAACAGACAGTGAAAAACAAAACACACGTCATGTGGATACATATCATACACACACACTCATTCGAAAATAAGTATGTATGTGATTGCAATTATACAGCTAAGTGTGAATGAATTCACCCGCGAAAAGACACTCTTCTCTGAACTACGAATGTTTTTGTTTTCACCAGTTTTCTTACAAAAAATTCGATTCATAGGAGTCATTAAAAAGACAATTGCAGCGAAGAAAAGCTTTTCTTTTCGACGAAGTCATCCTCTAGGCTGTACATTCGTGTATTTATATCAAATGGATGGGAAAGTTCCAGAATAATTTCCAGTTAAGAGTCAAATTAATAAAAATTACAAATAGGAATTAGAATGCCATAATAAACAGGGGGACGGATAAAACTCAAACAAAGTAGCATCATAATTACTGAGAAGGTTGACATATTGTTCATTTAGGGGTTAAAAATGTAAAAATAACAAAAATAGACAAGATGTTTGGATAATAAATCTAGTGGGATCATAACTAATGTGACGAAAAATTGTTCATGTAGTTAGGGATTAAATATGTAGAAATAGTGAAATGACAAAATAAACACGAAGTTCGGACATGAAAATATGGTAGTGTAAATAGAACTAACTGCGTAATCTCCGAAAAACCCTGATGGAAAAAGGTTCTCCGCCTAGGTTCATAGACAATAAACTCAAATCTAAGATGACTTCCGGACAAGTCCAATCCGTTCCAAAGAAAATACTTCTGCTTAATCTAGAATCCAAAGGTGATATTGAGGCAGAAATCCTTCGTAACCGCCTCCCAAAATCGCTGCGGAAAACATACATCGACGCGAGCCTACGACTAATGTTTTCCTGCAAGAAACTGTTCAGCCAGACCGCGAAAGACAAGCTGTCGCATTGAGCCACTTCAACGTGCATATACCAGTTCACTTGCTCTTGTAGAGCTGAGTACATCGGCCGTACGATGCGCCGACTTGAAAAACGCGCTCGTTAACACTACCAGTCTGGCTAGTAAAAGGAGACCAAAAACGTGTATATAGTTCAGTGACAGAACATCTGGTCAACAACTCAGTACATTCAGCGCCATTCATAAAATCCTTCAAAATAATATACAAGATTCAATCAAAACTATCAAATGGAGTGAAGTCGAGACATCTAGGCATAGCTGGGGCACTAGCTATCAAAAGCTCAAACCCACACTTTGTATCCAAAAGAAATACGTCCAACTCCTATCCCTGCCATGGTCATCATAAACAGGTAATTTTTTTTAGTAATGACCATCCCATTGCCTTTCTTATCTAAACTTCCTGTTTATTCAAGTTTTTTCTTAATCCCTGTTTACACTACCATATTTTCATGTCCGAACTTCGTGTTTATTTTGTCATTTCACTATTTCTACATATTTAATCCCTAACTACATGAACAATTTTTCGTCACATTAGTTATGATCCCACTAGATTTATTATCCAAACATCTTGTCTATTTTTGTTATTTTTACATTTTTAACCCCTAAATGAACAATATGTCAACCTTCTCAGTAATTATGATGCTACTTTGTTTGAGTTTTATCCGTCCCCCTGTTTATTATGGCATTCTAATTCCTATTTGTAATTTTTATTAATTTGACTCTTAACTGAAAATTATTCTGGAACTTTCCCATCCATTTGATATAAATACACGAATGTACAGCCTAGAGGATGACTTCGTCGAAAAGAAAAGCTTTTCTTCGCTGCAATTGTCGTTTTGACTAAGTATGTCTCTAAATTTTCCGTCGGCAAAATGAACAACACTTGTTTGAATTCAAGCTAATTAGTGATTTGGAGAGAGAAAGATTTCACAGAGACTACTTCCTTTACTTATCTATGTAATCAGCACCATTTCAACTACAGATGGCGGAACGGATGAAGATGTCATAACCAGTCTGAGTTGGAAAGGCAAGAGATATACCTTCATTAACCTGAAGCCAATTTGGAAAGCTTCTGCACTCACTATAAGGAACAAGATTTGCATTTTCAACACCAGTGTCAAATCGGTCCTCCTATTCGAATCAGAAACTTTTACTGCGTATCACGAAAGGATCTCCAACAGGTTGCAGACTTTCATCGATAGCTGCCCCCTTCGCTGTCTCCATACTGAAGATCAAATGGCCAGTTGGCCAGAAAGAATTAGAAACAAAAACTCTAGCTGGGGACAAACCAACAAGCAAGAGTCGATTGCTCAATAGATATGTAGAAGAAAATGGATGGAGCATACATTGAGGAGACCGTCAAATGACATCGCGGTATCTGCAGGCCATTGCTCGAGAGGAATCCGAATGGGAAGCGATGAGTGGGTCGTCAGTGCGAGGGTGATAGGAGGAGATGAGAGATTGTGGGCAACCGTGGTCCAAGCTGAAGAGGACGGTAGAAGATAGGACAAAGTGGAGATATGTTGTTGAAACCCTATGTTGCACTAAGAACTCAAGGGAATAAAAATAATAACAGCTGAGTTGGACATTGAAGATGTGATTCATTGCAATGTCAACTTCCATATAAATAAATACCTCTCATTTAAATAGATTTCTATATCAACTCTTACTTCTTAGACACTGATTCTAGGTTGAGTATTCTACATATTTTTTCTGTTTAAATAATTGTGTCACGAAAAGTGGTGTGTATGTGTCTGCGAGCCGTCGTCAGGAAGACTTGATCTACGTTCCGCGTTTGTTGTCACTTATCAGTAAGGCATATCTACAACCTCAAATCCGTTTTGCCTAGTGGGAGATTCAAGTGCGCAACAATCAGTGGTGCACTTAAAGAGACAAAACTATCGAGATACTCGATCTCTTAAATGGCATGTTACATCCACTTTTTACATTCTAATGAAAAGAGGTATATCAATAACCTGCTTAACAATGCAGTCTATTCTGTTTTTGGCTAGATTCACATAGTGTGAAAGTGTAGCTATTCTGCCTAAAAATAATAATAAGGTTTCAGAGGACGAGTCCCCTCTCTGTGAGTTGCGCTTCACCTACTTCTGCTTACATAAATAGGTAGTATCACAAGTAATGGAATGCTTGGCAACCAAAGCGAAAGGTCCGGTTCGATTCTCCGCTGGCGTATAGCGGCTAGACGCCGTTTAGCCAGTAGTTTCTTATTCATTTCGTTTAACATTCCAAAAAGAACATAGGAATCTCAGATTCAAAGGTGCAGTGGTGTTGTTTTTACCAGATGGGGCTGCAAGCATCTCATGTGCAACAACTTTCCTTTTAACCAGACTAGGAGATATCTAGGAGGGCGTGGTTGACGATTAGTCCTGTGATGAGAGCTGACTGCTAGCCAAATTGGTAGACAGCAATATACGTCAATGTTTACGTCCTCAATATTGGTCATGGGAAAAATAAGAACAAAGACTGACTCAACAACCAACCACAGCAGACTTTGCGGAGGCGTATACAATTAGCATATAGATGATGTGACATTCAAAAACAGCCACAAGGAGATGAAAGATTAACTTTCAATGTGATATGTAGTCACATGATGTGCGTGTTTGTTTTTGACAGTCTGTTATATTTTGCTATGTGTATATGGATCGATATTCCATTATAACTGACATTATGCTTCTGTCTATCCACTAACTAAATAAGCATGTATGACCTTGTTGTCATATGACATTACAACCAATCATGTTAAGACCGTCTTATTGGTTCATGTGTATTAGCCATTTCCATATATACTTTTGTATTAACACTTGTTCACTTTTCGTGTTCACACACTTTTTAGTACCTTTTCACTCACACACTTGTGTGACATTTATTTTCCTTGTCTGGTAAATACAAGTATCATCGTAAACTTCGTGGTCTTCTGATATCCCTTTTTCCGCGTCAGGACTATTAACTACTCGACGAGTACATAACACAGTGAGAAACAACAACCAATCAGAAGATTGTGTTTGTCTGCTAGCAATAATTTACAATGATGTACATTAAAATCTATAAATGTGTTGGTTTCATTAATGAACGATCTGTTGCCTGGTCCTTGTGTCTTGACGTTACAATCCTACCAGTGAACCACCGATGCCTAACTGGCAGTAAGGCTGGCCAACAGAGCAAGTTGGGTCTTAGGTTAGCAGGCTCACCTTACGAAAAAACGTCACCATTCTTACTGAAACAAACTGTAAGTATTGGATCGAAGCCACTATATTCCCTCTACCCCCACAGAAGGTAGGGTATGAAAAAAGAAATTAGGCCTGCTCACAATAGGCATGTGACTCATAGCTTGGTTAAACATGACCAATCTTTTCCCTGTTAATTGATTTCTCGTAACAATTCAACCTTCAAGCTTGAGGCTTAAAGTTTCACTAGCGCTGGTGTTATCATCTTTACAGATGGGGTCGTCGTTAACCTCGCACACAACCTTTCCAGTTTATCCTCCTGTTACCGACTAAGCATGAGTGATTCAGCTGTAGGACGATTACTAATCTCACCTCACAGGGTACAATACCCAGAGGATGCACCCCTTAACCTAGACAAACCAGTAGTAAGGCCTAGAAGGAAGGAAGATTGGGAGTGAAGTCAGTAACCCCACCCCATAGAAAAACCCACTGCTCTAGCTGCTTGGAAGTTAACCGGGGTTTACGAATAATTCTATTTAGATTCGAACCCGGATCACATGAGGCGTGGCTGGTTAGTTGGTTGGTGAGCGTTATACCACTGAACCACAGATGCGTAACTGTTGTTTGTTGCCCTTATTGTTGTTGCTATGGTTTATTTTATTGCCTTTTCATTAATGAAAACAACTCAGTTATCATCAAATTAAGTAATTGACATTCTTTTTAAAGAAAACAGACATCGGGAGAATATATACAATTTATTTGAAATTATATATAAGCATATAAAAGAAGGAAGCAAGGAAGGAAGCATGTATCATTTATGCGTCACTGTTAATTTCCTTGGCGGTATAGCTAATTTCAAACTTTCTAACCATGTTTTCGTGCCAGATAGAACTGGACACAAAGCTTGAAAAACATGTACAGTCGATAGAACATGTCGACCTTCTATATGTAGGTCGATCTCTTTCAATGGTAGCCTGGCTGTTCGATAACCTTGTCTACAGGCTTGTTGATAACAATATCCCTTCAAACTGTTATGATCAATTAATCCACCGATGACATAAACATCATTGATAGAGAATTTCACTGGATTGTCCTGCTTGTCAGTGACATCAATGGCGGGATCTTCTGCTGCTGATGATGTTGATATGCTTTCAAAATGATCTGGAAGAATATATTCTGATTCTGCGCATAAATAAACAATTTCATTGGCTGAAAACATAGACTGGAAATTTTCCTGAAATGATATCATTTGGCAAAAAAAAATCAATAAGTTTATGAGTTATCATGTTCATAATGAATAGCACTCTAACTAGGAAACTGTTCCAAATTTGCCCATCAAATTAACTTCAGTTAGAAAACTATTGAAAACCAACTGTTTCGTTCAATTATAGGACTCTTCAGTAGTACTTACCCATTACACCACCAGGGATCGAACCTAGGTCCCCCCTCAGAATACAAGGTGAGCTGGTTTACCATTGAGACACTCAAGGGGAATCTAATGACTCATGAATTACAACTTCTGCCGACTCGTCATATATAGCACGACTGACTATCAGCGAATGTTAATATGGCGAGCATTTGCGCTTCACACTCAACCTGATGGATCCTGTTGGTTCGAATTCTCACAGGAACTTGATTCTACAAGCAATCAATGGTGAGCCGTAGATTATACATAGTATTAATGATTATTATAAGTTATTCAGTGTAGAAGTAATCATAGTACCAGTCAATAGCTACTCAATTTTAGGGCTTATTATTTGTATTCACGTGTTGGTTTGTAGGGATTTGATTGGTTACAGGATTTCATCATGAGCTGATATTAGTTAGAGAACAACTGGAAAACCTGAGAGTACTGGACAGCTGTTTCGTCCTAGTTTGGGACCTTAGTGAGAAGTCGTGACCGGTAGGGTGCAGCAGGTCGAGTGTGAGGACAAATACTCCCCGAAGACATTGACTAGGGGTCGCGCTATGTCGGAATCGGCAGAAGTAGGAATTCATGGACTGGTCATTGGATCGGATCCCAGTGGCTTAATGCTCTACGAACTCGCTAGCCTTGTAATGAGAAGGTCCTGGGTTCGAACCTTGGTGGGTGTGTACTGATGAAGAGTCCCAAACTATGCTGACGAAACAGCTGTCCAGTAGTTCCAGGTTTACCAATAGTTCTTTAACTAATGTCATCTCCTGATGAAATCCTTATAATTTCTTCTGGCCATGTAGCTTTCAGGAAACACTTCATTCAATGTCACAGATGGCATAAGATTGAGCCGGTCATATGCATATCGTTTACATAGTCTCCATGATACCGAATATTTTGCCACTAAGAAGAACCTGAATTTTGTGTTTAGATACGGTTTTTTTCATCCAGTCTCCTGTACTATCGCAGCCAAAGTGTCAATCTACTACTTCTCTTAATTTTTTGCATCATAAAATGTGTAAGTTAATTTCAGTCCTTTTTGAGTCCTTGTTTCTCAAATTCTTTCGAAAATTGTCAATAGACACCCCTTTGATAGAATTTAATTTTGTCTGTCTCTTGTTTCTATGATTTGAGATGAACTCAAAACACTGTTATCCAATTTATTAGCTACTTATTACTATTATTATTATTGTATCCTTTAGTTCCTAGAGGAACATAGGGCTTCAGCTGCGCACCTCCATTGCCTTCTGTTTTCTGTCAACATTTTCACCCCGCTCCAGGTCTGTCCACATATGCTTTCATCTCCTCCTCGCATGACCTCCTCCAAGTCACCCTTGCACTGACGACCAACTCGCCGCTTCCCTCTCAGCGGGTTCCACTAGAGCAATGGCTTGTCTAGTGATGTCACTTGATGGTTTCTTTCCTCAGAGTATGGCCAGCCGATCCATCTCATTTCTTCCTGCCTATTTGTTTCGCAATCGGTTCCTGTTTGTTCGCTCATTGCCAGACATCCCTGTCTGTGGCTGATCTTTTCTGGCCAGCCATCTGATCTTGAGTAGTAGTATTGAGCGAAGACAACTGTTAATGAAGGTCTGAAGTTTGTTTGAGGTGCTCTTTATGACGCGCTGGCCAAGTCTCTGATCCGTCTAGTGAGTAGCACTGATTGACTTCACATTGGAGTTGAAAATCCGGATCTCATATTCGTTTTGATGCTGAGTGGGGCTGTTGACCTCCACACAAATTTGAGAGTAATGAAAGCTTGTCTTGGCTTTTCCGATTTTGGCTTTTCAATTTCTTAGCTATTTATCATCTAATGCATCTCTTGTCTTTATTACGTAACTCCTTTACCGTTGTATGCATGCAGACATTTACTTTGTTTAAGCTTGAGCTCCATGCGTAAAAACTAAGGAGGTGTAATTTTCTGAGCACTGTGTTCACTAAGTCCACAACCTTCTGTATCAACTGACAACATGTAAAATTTGCAAGTATGTTAAAACTTTTCTGTACATGAACTTAATAATAATAATAATAATAATTTATTCAGGATACAATTGGTGGATGGTGACTAGCAGTGGAATCCAGGAGGCGTATTTCGTCCTATTTGGGACTCTTCAGCTGGATGTACCTGCATTTCTCAGTGAGAAATGACGTTCCCACTGAGGCTCGAACCCAGTACCCATAGTTTCGAACGCCGAAGCGTTATCCACTAGACCACTTGGGCCACGAGAGCCACCTCTTGTGCAACGGTTCATATTAATTATTGAATTGGATTTTTTGATTTTCCCGCCAACCTGAGACTGAGCACTTCGGTCCAATCAATCGACGGGAAAATCAAAAGATCCAATTCAATAATAATTTATTCAGTTTGTGAGCAGCAGCTGATTAGAAGCCAATGAAGTAAACAAATGATGATAGCATGATATTCTGCAAAAATCACTGTTGTTCTTGCTTTATTTAAATATCTTCAAATAGCTATGAACCAATCAACTAATTAGCAGCTGTATACTTTCTCGATTACTACTAACTGATGATATGTGGTTCCACATCAGTGTCCACTGATGTGTCAATTCGTTTCAGATTACTTCTAAACGCTTTCTTGTATATTATTACATAATCTCTGTTCCCAGGTCTCTCCTGCTAAGTAAGCTTGCTGCAACACAGGCTGAAAGCTGGACAAATAAGTGGTTGCATTCCTATTTTTCTGATAGGAAGCAGTACACCGTCTACAATGGAAAGTCCTCCACTACCTCACTTACTTTAGCTGGTGTCCCTCAAGGTGCTGTTCTTTCTCCCTTTCTGTTCTCGTTTTTCTTACATGACTTGCCTCATTCTGATGTAGCCACTTTTGTCAAGTATGCTGATGACCTCTCTGTTTCTATGCCTGTCAACTCTCAGTCAGATTGTTCCAAATTAAATAACTTTCTGTCGGAAATTAGTCAGTGGTCCTCTTCAAACGGACTTAAGCTTAATCCGTCTAAATGTCAGGTAGTCAATTTCACTTTCAGACGTAAATGTGACCTACAGCAACTAGTTAGCTCACATGGCCCCACTCTTATTGACGGCACAGAGGTTGAAAATACATCTTATGTCAAGCACCTTGGGCTGAGTTTTTCCACCGATCTTTCCTGGTCTTCCCACATCTTGCTAGTTACTAGAAAGATGTTTCGCTTAACGTCCTACATTAGGAAATTTAGGCAGTCTGGTATAAAGCAGTCTTTGCTTTCCCCCTTTACTGCTCCCCACTAATCTTTCCTCGACTACTTAAGAAAGACTTTGCTTTGCTGAGAAGGGCACTAAAAGCCCCCGTTGTAGGGCAAGTGGGGGATATCGTTAAACCAACTGGTTAACACTATTGTAGATAGACATATTATATCATGTAAGAAACTAGCGAATACAATATTGTCGGACCCCGAGCATCCTCTCTATACGCAGCTGTCTCCTTGCATTTCATCTGTTAGAACTAGAAGCAGCTATAGAAGGCTATATGCTAGGACTATCAAATAGAAAAACTCCACAATACCATATCTGGCACAGGTGTTATGTGATGAGAAATCCGTTAGGTATGACACGATCAACTTACTGCGGCACTCTAACAAATAGTCCCATTAGTTTTTGTTTTCCTTTCTTCGTTACTATTACACTGTTGTTCTCATCCTCTATCACACATCAACTTTATATTTCATATCCTGTGACGCATTGTTTGAAATGTAAACTCTACGCTGTTTTTTTTTAATTTTTATTTATCTTTAATTCTTTTGACGTTGGTTTTTTTTTCATTTACTTATTTTTTGATTTTAAAAGTCTTACAAAATTTATGAGGTAATTAGATGCAATATATTGTAATGCACGCTGAAAATTCCATATCTGTAACACAAATACCGTTTGGAATAAAGCTGTTAATATTATTATTATTCATGTATGGTGCTAGTGTGAATTAATGTTTTGTTTGTTGTCACCTATTTTACCAAAGCCTGTCGACAACTTCTTCGCCTACAAATAATTAGTAACTTTTCATATCAGTTATAATGTTTATGCACACTGCACTCTTCATGTCCAATTTCTGTTTAATAGTAATAGTCCTGTGAAAGCATCGTTCCAACTATAGGTGGAACCGATAAAGATATCAACGAGCGAGGATCGGGAAAGCAAGGCAAGGCAAGCTTTCATTTCTCTCAAGTCTGTGTGGAGATCAACATCACACTCAGCAGGAAAAATAAAATCCGGATTTTCAACTCCAATGTGAAATCAGTTCTAATATACGGATCAGTGAACTGGCGCGTCACGAAGAGTACTTAGAACAAACTATAGACCTTCATCAACAGACGTCTTCGCTCAATAGTACTCAAGATCAGATAGCCAGGCACAAAACATCAGAAACACGGATCTCTGACAATGAAAGAATCAACCCAGAAGGAACCAATTGTTCAAGAAATATTCAAGAAGAAATAGAGGTCGATTGTGGCCATACTCTGAGAAAACGAACCATCGTCAAGTGAGTGACAAAACACACCAGACCGTCGCTCGAGTGGAACCTGGCCGAATGGGAAGTGGCGAGTCAGTTGGTCATTAGTGTGAGGTTGACATCAAGAAGAAGGTCATGTGAAGAGGAGATGAAGGCACGTGAGCAGACGAAGAGTCAGCTGAAAACGTAGGCAGAGAACCGAATCCGATGGAGACGTGCAGCTGAAGTCCTATATTCCTCCAGGAACTAAAGGAGAAAATAATAAAACTGAAGGGGAGCGTCAAAGCATAAATGACACCATAATGTATTTTATTTCTTCTGTTGTCCTTGAGATTTTATTCTTTCAAGCATAGATTTTCTCTACCTTCGCAATTGCGTATCTGTGTGTGTGTGTGTGCGTGCAGTGAGCGCAGTCAGTCTTCACGTCTTTTCTGTATATCCTGTACTCTGTGATATAGGTAGTGATCATAAAACATAAGACGGCCTACATTCCAAATAAATTTTGTGTCACTTAATTAATTAACGTGTTTTTAATGTGAATTATGGTCTGAATTATTCCTGGTGTTCAAAATTCAATGTGGTTTTGAAATAATTGTGAAGAATTTTAGCCTAAGATGGATGATTTTGACTTAGTTTGTGTTCTCTGAGCTGGTTGATTATTTATTGGCGAAGCTTTTGTCATCTTCAGCTGAGGTTCTAGTATGAAATGCAAGTGAAAAGTAAATTATTAAATGACAAGAAAGTTCAAATTCCAAGTCAGTCAATAAAAATGATCAAGAAAGACGTCAATTAACAACCAATCACGGCAGTGATTGTCTGTCAGGAGACACAATATAATCATCATCATTCATGGAGAATAATTGCATTTCACTCTAGAACCTACGCTGAAGATGTTGTCTAGAAGGGCGATAAAAGCTTCGCAGTTAAATCAACCACCCAGCTCAGAGAATAGAACTACGCCAGAATAAACAGCCCTCATAATCCGTGAAAACGGCTACACATCAGTTCGAATTATGTCACTGACTTATTTATCATCGATCTTGTTACCAATTTTTCTCCTTGAAATGATACTTCATAGAGAATACGGACAGCTCAAGTTGACGTCCTCAGTCTTCGTGTGTTGACTGAACTGAATAGTTCTATTGTAAATCGTTCAATGTCATTCTCGACATTATCGTCATCACAGAAAACTTTACAATAAAGTAAATTCTTGGAATATAGTCAGTCAGTTGGATAAAACTTAATTTTACTCAGCACCGTATTATAAGCTACACGCATTTTGTGTGTGAGAGCTAGGTGATGCGTCGAGATTTGAATCCGGAACACATCGGTTGAAAGCCAATGGAGTCACATATCTTCACGTATCCACTACATTCATTTCACATACCAATTATTGATTTCCGTCTCCCGCTTAATACATACTGTTTTGTACTAACCACTACCCACAACACTGAACTTACTTATTGTATCATCACCTGCAACTCACCTAAAAATACCACCATTAACAACAACACGCACAGAACTACCAGTGGACACCAATCCCCCAAAGAAAGCAGAAAGGATGGCTACCTTGTCAAACTAACAAAGTAGAGCGACTTACACCACCACCAGAACTAGCACAGATTCATAGTCTTGTCGACACCAAGTAAAATACTAAGTTGCGTCATCCTGGGGAGAATAAAAGATGCACTCGATAAAGAACTCCGTCACCCACCGGCACGAGCTGGATTCAGGAAAGGCAAATCATGTGCTGATCCAATTCCAACTCTACACATCGTCATCATAGAACAAAGAAGAGAATGGTAGTCAAACCTATCTCCACCTCAACTTCATCGACCTCGAAAAGCAACAGCTTCGACAGTGTAGACTGAGAAGTAATTTGGAAACTGTCGCAACACTACGGTGTTCAGTGCCCGAATCTTTAATCAATCTCACTCAACAACTGGCTATATAACAATGCCAAGTGTCAGCTGATCCATAACGTCAAACTCAGTGAGGCGTTCGAAGTGATATCACCAATGACTGGACTGGACTATAAGCCAGACTGTGGGGAATGAGTATGCAGTACAATGTTGGACAGATAAGAAGACTCTAGAAGATGTGGATTTCGCAGATGACTTCTTTTTTGTGTCACACAAACTCGTAGACTTGAAGGCGAAAACTAACAAACTGGCAGAAGAGGTTACCAGCGAAGACAGGACCTGAAGTGAACATAAAGAAGACGAGGGTGATGAAGATAACCAACGATCAGCAATATCAACAACAACCAGTACCAATCACCATCAAGAAGGGAGATTTAACAGAGGTCACCTCCTTCGCCTATCCGGCTAGGAAGCATCGTTTTAGGTGCAAACGAAACGTATGCAGATGTTAAAGCTATGCATCATCGGGAAGGCAAGATACACCTTGACCAAACTGGAACCAGTTTGGAAATATTCTGCACTCTGCCTCAGGATAAAGCACAAGATTCAGATCTTCAACACAAACGTGAAGTCAGTCAGTTTCCCTATACCTGTCAGAAACTTGAACTGCGTGTCACAAAAGGGATTTATAACAATTTACAGACCTTTATCAACGGCTGCCCCCTTTACTGGTTCTATATATATTGAAGATCAAACTTCCAGCTGGCCGGTCAGAAAAAATTAGAAACAAGTGCAGCAAACCAACAAGCAAGAACCGATTGCTCAAAAAATATGTAGGAGAAAATGGAGATGAATCAGGCATACGTTGAGGAGACCGTTGAATGACATCATGCGTAGTATACGCCACTGATCGAGCGGAATCCGAATAGGAAGCAAAAATGTGGGTCATCAGTGCGCCGGTGACATGGAGGAGATTGCGTGGCGAGGAGCAGGAAGAGATGAGAGATAATGGGCAATTATGAGGCTGACCAGCTGAAGAGGACAGTAGAGAATACAAGAAAGTGCCAGATGTGTTGTAGAAGCCCTATGTTCTACTCGGAACCCAAAAGGATAATAAAAATAATAATACATTATCAGATGAATCGCTTATGATTAATCATCATCCTCATCAAATCTCGCATTTCATAATATTTTGTAATTATATTCAGGTCAGCAGGTTTATCACTCTATAACTAATCTGTTAGTCCACATAAGTGAAGATATATCCGCCTCATAACCGGTTATTTTTTGGTGTAACGATAATAAATATTTTATTTTATAGGTGTACGAGCCTGAAGAAAGGGATTTATTGAAAAGAACGCATTCTTCTTTGTTCAAAATAACTTTTAACATTCTAGAATGTTTGTCATTCGAAGTTACCTTTGAATGAACATGTATAGAAATACAAAAATAATAATTATTATTATTATAAGCATAAAATGATATTATTCTATTTCACAGGTTCTCATAAGCTGCAGACTACCTGAAATTACAATGTTTATATAGATGATAATAACATACTTTAATATGTGAGTGGTAGTAGGGAAAAGATACTATAAGATACTATACTATACTACTATAAAACTTCCCCGTACTGACGAAGAGTCCCAAACAGGGACGAAACAGCTGTCCAGTACTCTCAGGTTTTCCAATAGTTCTCTAACCAGTGTCAGCTCATGATGAAATCCTGAAACCAATCAAATCCTTACAAACCAACACTTAAATACCAATGAGATGCTCACTGGCGACTGGCCCTATTCAGGTAGGTAGTTACCTGGGTTCCAGTGGGAATTCGTGACCACTAGGGTGCAGCGGGTAGGGTGTGGGGACAAATACTCACCGAAGACATTGGCTAGCGGTCACGCTATGTCGTGAATTGGCAGAAGTTAGAATTCAACGACCATTGGATCGGGTCCCAGTGGCTTAATGGTATACGAGCTCGCCTTGTAACCGGAAGGTCCTGGGTTGGAATTCCGGTGGATGCGTACTGCTGAAGAGTCCCAAACTAGGACGAAACAGCTGTCCAGTACTCCCAGGTTTTCCAATGGTTCTGTAACTAATATCAGCTCATGATGAAATCCTGAAATCATTACAATTATTAGTTTAGGTTTTTATCATCAATTTATACGTTTTTAAAGTTGAAAAGAGTGGGGAGGGGTAAGACCGAAAACAGAAAAAATTAATTAACAAACAACAAACAGTGTTAGCTTGTAGGTTCACATAGGAACTCCAAAAAAACAAAAGCGGTTATAGTTTATGAGATTAAGATTTGTTCAGTGAGTTGAGATCACTGAATTAGATGACTAATTATTAATGTAATCAAAATCAAAATTCAGTTACCAAGGTAGTGAAAGGTTAATCACGCTGTCTTTCTGTATGCATAAGTCTGGTTTAAATCGTTTGATTGCGATCGCTTCGGTAAATCGTAGTAAATTTGCTGTCCTTTGTCTATTTAATATTTTGAAGGACTTAGAAATCTCTGAGAGATGTCTGGTATCAACACTATGCCTGGTGACTGCACTCTGAGAATATTTGCTTCCTTTCAGGCACAGGTTTTCTCGAAGCGATCGCAATCAAACGATTTAAACCAGACTTATGCATACAGAAAGACAGCGTGATTAACCTTTCACTACCTTGGTAACTGAATTTTGATTTTGATTACATTAATAATTAGTCATCTAATTCAGTGATCTCAACTCACTGAACAAATCTTAATCTCATAAACTATAACCGCTTTTGTTTTTTTGGAGTTCCTATGTGAACCTACAAGCTAACACTGTTTGTTGTTTGTTAATTAATTTTTTCTGTTTTCGGTCTTACCCCTTCCCCCACTCTTTTCAACTTTAAAAACGTATAAATTGATGATAAAAACTTAAACTAAAAACATTGTAATGATTTCATTTTGGATGCGTCAATTTTATAGTATCTTTTCCCTACTACCACTCAAATATTAAAGTGTTGTTATCATCTATATAAACATTGTAATTTCAGGTAGTCTGCAGCTTATGAGAACCTGTGAAATAAAATGATGACATCATTTTATACGTCAAATTTCGTCTTCCTTTCTTTATCAAAATTTAACAAGGGAACCAAATTTATGAAATAATAAAAACTTCCATAGTTAAATCCTTTATCTCAGGAAAATACTAAAAAGGATAATACGCCAGTGTTACAACAAATGGATAAAAGGATTTGCATGTAAAGTTAAGTTAATATTTCAAAAAAGGGCTTACCTCACACAAATTGACATCCCAATTGTCACAATCGCATAACTTCAGTTTATCAAGCAGTCGGACAGAGCCACATTTTGATATATCTATGCTTAAAGAAGATTTCTCCTTGGAGTTATTCACACTGTTATGATTATCCGTGATAATATTGTTTTGACTTTGTCCAGAGGGCCTAATCCAGTGATATACAACTGGACTGGATGTTCTGCACGTCGATTAATAGAATAACATTTAGTAACCTAATGAATTTTTTTGTAAAATAAAACGAAGGAAAGAAATATACTCTGAATTCGAATAGAAAGGGAATTATATTCGGATTTATGATTTTCCGAATTTATCCATTCAACATGGAGCCTTCACAGAAGAGAAGAAGCCCTTTTTATCACCCGATGGCTGAGGGGGTGGTAACAGTAAACTCTAGAAATTGAGTTGTGTAATTAAGTTTTGGTGCTTATCCAGCTGTGAATATATTTGCGTCTCAGTGAGGCTTGAAGCCAGAGCCTATCGGTCCAAACACAAAACTATTATTATCGACTGGACTAATGGATCATGTAACATGAGTTCTATTTCTTCTGTGACCTGGAGGTCATAAATATAATAACCGATTAGCCATCAAGCGCACATTCTACGCCACCGCATCTCTCTCCCTCACATCTCGAACATTTTTGATTCCTGTACCTGTCTACGATGAAAGGACAAAGTTCTGTAGACTCCACTTCAAACTGTATCTACAAGTTCACCTGCAGCTGTTGCGGTGACATTTATATAGGTAGAACCAATACAATGTTCCAATGTGGTCGTCGAAAAGGAACATGTTCCAAAATGGTTATTAAAACACATAGAAGAAAATCCTAATGCAATTATTAATCTGAAAAGAAATCCATCATCTTCATCCATTGCAAAACACTTATTAATGTCAGGTCACTAAATCAATATTAATTAATGACTGTTTCACAATTATTTCATCGCATGACTCTAATTCAAGGTTGATTATTAAAGGCGATGGAAGCACTTTGGATTAATTACATACAGCCTAAACTGTGTGTACAAAAAACAATAGACTTCAACTTCGCCTACCATGGGCTACTTGACCTATTTAGAAATATGATTGGTCGTTAGTATGTACTTTTGTTTTATTTGTATAACTGAGTAATTGTCATGCATTTTATTTCATTTTATTATTGTGAACCATGCAACTACTACAAACTACAGACTTTCATCAGCAGCTGTCTTCGCTCAATAGTACTCAAAATTAGATGGCCAGCCAGAAAACATCAGAAACAAGGATCTATGGCAATGAAGGAACCAATTCAGCAGGAACCAATTGTTCAACAAATCTGCAGGATGAAATGGAGGTAGATTGATTGGCCATACTCTGAGAAAACAAACCATCATCAAGTGAGTGACATCAAGACGCCAGGTCATCGCTCGAGTGGAACCTGGCCGAATCGGAAGTGGCAAGTCACTTAGTCACGAGTGCCGGGTTGACATCGAGGAGGAATTCATGCGAAGAGGAGATGAAAGCATGTGTGCAAACATGGAGTCAGGTGAAAACGCAATGGAGACGTGCGGCTGAAGTCTTATATTCCTCTACGAAATACTTGTAAAGTGATTGTAGAGAAACTACGAAGTGACGATATCGTCTCGGGAAATTTGTCTTATAAGTGGCTTATTGAGAATAGCAAATGGTAAACAAGCACACACAGCCACACACACATACATATTGGTTTACCTGTTGAGCTAATTTACAGATATCCTTGAATGACATCAAATGATCATAAGCACAATCAATGACAACTTTTGTTGACATTTAGATTCCGACATTTTTTGAATACGATGCTGTTGTTGTATAGGTTTTTGTGAAACAGTACATTCAACAGTAGTATTTGACGAATCCTTTACTGAGTTACCATTGTTATTATCATGAGCATCAGTGTCACCAGCAGCTTGAGAAGATTGAATATTTTGTTTTAATAAATTTTGTCGCATTTTACGACGTTGTTTTTGTGCTTTTCTTGCATCACGTCTTGCCTAGCATTGACAGGATAAAAACAAAAAAACGAAATGAGTACATTGAAATAAATGACAGTCTTCAGGGTTTAATCAAATTCAGTGAATTATTGGAGCACCAGAAGGCATAAAAGAGCAACGTTTTGTCCTAGTTTGAGACTCTTCATTACTGCGCACATAGGATCTACATTTTACGAGGTAGTCTTTTTTGGGTACAACTCCTGATACAGTCATTATTATTATTATTGTTCCCTTGGGTTCCAAGTAAAGCATAGGGCTTCTATACCACATCTTTACTTTATTTGGTCCTCTGCTGTCCTCTTCAGCTGGGAGACTCCACGTTTTCCCATTATCTCTCATCTCCTCCATGTCACCCTTGCATTGACAACCCATTCGTCGCTTCCCATTTAGATTCTACTCGAGCAATGGCCTGCATTGGGCGCGATGTTATCCAATAGTCGCTTCAGCGTTTGCCCAATTCATCGATCTCCATTTTCTCCTACATATCTGTTGAGCAACAGGATCTCGACTGGTTTGTTCCCAGTCATTTGATCTCCAGTATGAAACCAGCGAAGTGGTTAGCTGTTGATAAAAGTCTGCAACTGGTTGGATATCCTTTTCGTGACGCGTAGTGAAAGTTTCCGGTCGGTATAGAGAAACTGACTGACTGACTTCACATTGGTGTCCATAATACGAATCTTGTTCTTCATGTTGGCTGAATACAAAAGGCTTCCAATCTGGTTTCAGGTTGATGAAGGCGTATCTTGCCTTTCTGATTCCAGCTTTGACAGTCATGGATATTATTTTTCCCTTGAGTTCCGAGTAGAACACAGGCCTTCACAGGATCACATCTTTATTCCACTATGTTCTCTTCACCTGGCTACACAGTTACGCATAAGCCTGCGTCCCCTTCTCATACAAACTCCTCCATCTCATCAACAAACCCTCGCCGTAATCCTTGTCTCACATTCGACGTCCCGGCGCGTGATGCCACTTAACAGTCTTTTTATTGTATGTAAAATCCACTCTCAAATCCTTCTTCGATTAGTTTTCTGTCTGCCAGAGTTCCTTGCAGCTTATTTATTGTTTTCGATCACTCATTTGATCTTCAGTATACACGTAAGGTAGCTGTTTGTAAAGCGATGAGCCTCTCAATCATAGATAAGCACTAACTGATGTGATATTCAAGTATTGATTTGTAAGGATTTGATTGATTGGTTACACGATTTCATCATGAGCTGACATCATTTAGGGAACCATTGGAAAACCACCATGGACTACTGGACAGCCAACTGTTACGTCAGCATAGTTTGGGACTCTTCACAATACGCACCCACCACAGGGGGTCGAACCCAGCACCTCCTGGTTATAAGGCTGGCGAGCTCGTGGACCATTAAGCCACAGCGACCCGATCCAATGACCAGCCTATGAATTCCAACTTTTTTTTTTATTTTTTTTTATTTTTGGTTGCAGCTTGATTCCACACTGTATTTTTGGTACAAGTATGGAATTTTCAGCATGGATATCGGTAGCCCAAATTTCGCAGGCCAACCATAGATATCAGGTGTGCGTCGGTGTGTGCTCGAACCCGGACCATGTGCATGGTTGGCGAGAGTCCTAACCACTATGCCAGTTCACGACATTCCGCGACCACTATCCAATGTCATCGATAGTGAGCATTTGTCCTCACATCCAACCTGCTGTACCCTACTGGTCACGACTTCCCACTTGGAACTCAGGTAACTGCCTACCTGAATAGGGCTAGTCGCTAGTGAGTAACTGATATGATATTCGTGGTAAAAAAAAAATAGAATCTTGTTCTTTATACTGAGTGCAACAGACCTCCATGGTGATTTCAGACTAATGAAGGTTTGCCTTGCCTTTTCGATCATTAAAGTCGCTCATCTGTAGCTGAAACGATGCTGCCTAGATTAGAAAAACAGATGACTTCATGATGCATGTTGTTGTTGGGGATTATATATCTTCAGCACATCTCTCTTCTATATGTTCATCTGTAGTCCTCTGTTCACTATGCATGTGTTCAGCCAAATTGTTGGTATCCGCCTGTAGACATTCGAGTTTATGTGAGCAACCCTACAAAAGATAAATCGTCTGTGAAGTTCAAATTTTTGTGAATCTTCTTGTCGGCCCTACGTATATATATTTGTCTTCTAACTCCCTGCAATCTGCCTCATGATACAGTCCAAAAGAATCAAGAATACAATCGAGACAATGGTGGGCAGCATTGTTTTACTCTTGTCTTCAATTCATAGGCTTCGCTTAGCTTTCTGTTGTGAATCACTTAACAAGTGGCATTATCATACATACAGCTGTTGAATGAGCTTGTATGCCACTGAAGAGTCACAGATTGGAATGAAACAGCTGCTCATTATTTCCTTTGTTTTTTTAAGAACTGTCTAACTGATATCGGTTAGTGAAGGAAATTTTTTTGTTTTACAATTTACCTCTTTACTTTTCAAGTATTTCTCTAATTTACGACGTTTTCGCTTTGACATGTTCTCATCATCAGCTGTCAGTGTTGTTGTCTGAAAATATTTTTTGTAGAAAAACAAAAAGATGAAAGGATAAAATTGGACACTGTGGTGGTAGAGAATCACTCTACTATGGATAAAATTTTATTTTGATAATGTCACACAGTGGTGTTATACAGTAAATAATATTTATGGATGATAACCACGTTTCGAGGACAATTTATTACAGCTCATCGTCATCATATCAAGGCATTACTCACAAAACTTTCTCACTTCGTATATATATATATATATATATACATATGAGAAAAATTGACTGCAGCTGCGGAGCCAGCTACATTGGGCGTACAATTAGGCAAGTTCATCGTCGTATTTCCGAACATCATCCAACGTGGTTAAGGGACAAAAAAGATCTATTCGCGGTTCTATTTTAGCCCACCTCGTTGATACTGAGCATAAGATTGATGTTAATACAGCATTTAAAATTATTTATCGCATTCCGACTTATCTTAATTTTGCTCTGCGAGTTCGTCTTCTACAGACGGCTGAAGCGATTGGAATTCACCTGAAGAAGCCAAGCCTATATGTACAGAAAACAATTGTACAGCCACTTTCCCTACCGTGGCCATTGTCACAAGAATGGATAAACAGGACTGCGTCACCCACCTCCCCCTAAACCTATAAAAATTATAATTGTCTAAATTATTTATTTTCACCACTTCATCTTTAATTTACGTGTTATCCTTGTAAAATTAATTTATTCTAACCATATCTACCTTTTAACTGTGTGTATTGATTTTCTTCGTTAACTATTAACCCATTGACATTTTGACACTGTTTAATTACTGTTAACAAACTTATGACCACACGATTGGCAAACTGTTGTGTATTGTAATAAAAATGCTACACGTGTATATTAGAGTAGAGCCAGAGATGACGATCTAATTGAAAAGTAAATATTTTTTTCGCTCAATCTTTCTGTTTTCTAAATGTCTAAATGGGGATTTTTCCTTTATTAATAAAAATTGATTAGACATTTGAATAAAATCAATATAAGACATGCGCGAAATAGAAACAAAGATAAAGTACATTCAGAAACAAGATTAGTGTTATCAATCAATATAATATGATGAGAATTAAGACGAAGGTTGTTAGTCATTAAGATGGGAAATAAGATGTAATAATGTGAATTGAATTGAAATACATTTTAATATGATTTATTATCCTCCTATGATTTGACTAACTGGTGGTAATAATATCTTCCATACATATCTCTGGTAATTTGCATTGAGTCATTTCTATTGCATGTGTTCGGTATAGATTATTCGATGAACGAGGATTCAGCAATCAATCTCTTCCTCTCACCACCACCTACCTATATTACTTTTTAAAATTTTCACTCTTTCCCACCCAGCCTATTGTGTGGTTGTGTGTTTATGCATACATGCAATGCTATTGGTCAGCTTTGATTCTAAATCACTTATCTTCGTGGGGTCAGAAATTCTAGCCTTAGCTAAATTTTTCTACGAGTTGATCACGGATTGATGATATCAGTTAGAGAACCATTGAAAACCAGCATTGGAGTACTGGACAGCTGCTGTTTCATCCTAGTTTGAGAATCATCGGCAGTAAACGCCCACCGCCAGGGTTCGAACCCAGGACCTTCCGGTTGCAAGGCTAGCGAGCTCGTATATCATTCAGCTACAGGGACCCGATTCAGTGGCCAGCCCATGAATTCTAACTTCTACTCATTAGTGATTTAGCGCGACTGTCACCAACCAATGTCGTCGGTGGGATATCTATCCACACACGCGACATCTGGATGAACCACACTGATAACGACTTCTCACTAGAACTCCAGGAAACTCCATCCTGTAGCAAGTCACTAGCGAGCATCAGATTATTTATTTATTTATTTTATTTATTTATTTTTTTATTTTTGATTTACAGCTTGATTCCACACTGTATTTTTGGTACAAGTATGGAATTTTCAGCATGGATATCGGTAGCCCAAATTTTGCAGGCCGACCATAGATATCAGGTGTGCGCCGGCGTGGGCGTGGGTCGCACTAAATCACGAATTGGTAAAAGTTAGAATTCATGGACTGGCCATTGAATCGGGTCCCAGTGGCTGAATGGTATACGAGCTTGCCTTGTAACTGAAATGTCCTGGGTTTGAACCTTGGAGGTGGGTTCGTACTGGTGATGATTCCCAAACTAGGACGAAAAAGCTATCTGTCCAGTACTCCAGTGCTGGTTTTCAATGGTTCTCTAACTGATATCAATCCGTGATCAACTCGTAAAAATATAACTAACCTTTACAAACCAAACTATAGAAAATTTAGCTAAATTCTTTTGTTCCGATAGTCTCACTACTCCCGATGTACTAGTTTAACCTATGTAGTTGACCTCACTCTAACAGACAAGGCAAGGTATTACGTAACTCCCTTGTCATTTTATGTAAACACTTATTTTTGTTCAAACTTGAACTTTTTGTGTATAAACTATAAAAGCGTATTATTCTGAGCACTGTTCATTAAGTTTGGAGCCTCCAGATAACTAACATCATGTAACATATGCAAGTGTGCTAAAAAATTATTCTGTGCATAGACTTATTGCATTTTTTTAAAGCTGTACGCAGCTGATGAGAAGTCGATGAAATACACGATGCTATATACCATCATATTCTGCTCAGGCTATTGTTGTTCTTACTTTATTCCAAGTTATTGTTTATCAAAGTTATTTGTGGCCTGTATAATACAGACAGCGTCAGTGTCATGTGTTTTGATTGCTTTTGAAGGCAGTGAAAGCTCTCTTGTTGAGGATCCATTAACTGTCCCACTAAGGTGTATCGGTGGTAGTATTTTTTCTGATTTTCTTGACATAAGTACACTAGATTAGTATAGCTTACAGTCTACTAATTTTTATTACCAGTCAAACTCCCCTTATATTCCCCAATGATACTTAATCCCATAGTACTAAATGATCCCTATAATTGGTGAGTTGAACATAAAGCAAGTGAAGAAGAAACTCTATTCCGACCTTACTTCACTTTTATTTGGTTGGTAAATACAAATATAATCATTTACCAACCGTTCACTTGTGAAAACATAGCTAGCTCACTGGCTTAGTGAATCAACTTTCAACCAATCGGCAGCGAAATCCGAATCCCATGCAACTGGGTAGTATTGTAACAACAGAAGACAAGGGCCAGGCAACAGATCGTTTTATTACGAAAATCAACACGTATTTATATATATTTCACATACATTATTATAGCTCATGTATTTAGACAAGTGCAGTCTTCTGATTGGTTGTTTATCAGAAGTTAAGCAGACAAACGCAGGCTTCTGATTGGTTGTTTCGGGATTCCTCGAAAAATAGAGTTCTCTATCTGCGAATCATATTTCGCCACGTTAAGTCTGCTGGGATTGGTTGTTGAATCAGCCTTGTACATATTTTCTCACGGCCTGCTCTCACCACAGTATCATCAACTCTAATATAATAAAGTGTGTCTCATAGCCTGACAAATAAGGTCCTTCATTGACAGAAATGCCCTTTGGATACTTGTTAGACTGAAAGCAGTAACCATCATATGGTGTAAGTCTTTTACACTATTGTGAGGGCCTGTGGATGAAGTTGTACTGTACAGGAATAGGGGGATTTAACATTAGTAAGGTGATTCCGTCAGATGACCAGTAAACAAGATATGCTTTCTCTTGGCTCTGGAGAGAAGGTTTAGAAAATGTTAACCGAAAAAAGTGTACATTTCAACATACCTACCTTGAGGTAATAAGATCTTCATATGAACAGTACTTCGAATAGGCCGTATGTGATAGGCCTCAAGCAGTGTTTTCCTGTCAGCTCTGTGGTCACACAACACTACTGATGCTGTTTCTGCTACAAGTACTCAAAGAATAAATCGACTTCTACAGAGTGTGAACACCTGGAAAGTAATTACCCACTATACGCTTCTATAAGCAGTTACGAGTATAAGTGAAATCTAACTAATGATCTGATCATCTGCGAGAGTAAGGATATCTAAAATCACTTCATACTATACAACAATAGGATAATATCATGTACAGAGAAAACAGCGGTGATGAAGATTCCTGGCCAACAGCAACGGCAACAACAACAGACAAAAATCAACATAACTGGGCGAAATCCGAAAGAAGCAACGTCCTTTACCCACCAAACTGGGAAGCATCGTTTCAACTACAGGTGGACGGAACTGATGAGGATATCAAAGTGCGAGGGTCGGGAAAGCAGAGCAAGCTTTCATTTCATTCAAGTCTATGTGGAGGTCAACAGCACTCAGCATGAAAAGTAACATTCGGAATTTCAACTCCCATCTGAAGTCAGTGCTACTCACTATACGGATCAGAGACCTGGCGCCGTGTCACGAAGGCCAATTCGAACAGGGTACACACCTTCATCAACAGCTGTCTTCGGTCAATACTATTCAAGATCAGATGGCCAGCCACAAAACATCAGAAACACGGATCTCTGACAATGAAAGAATCAACCCAGCACGAACCAATTGTTCAACAAATCTGCAGGAAGAAACGCAGGTGGATTGGAGGCCATACTCTGAGAAAACAAACCATCATCAAGTGAGTGACATCAAGACGCCAGGCCATCGCTCGAGTGGAACCCGGCCGAATGGGAAGCGGCGAGTCAGTTGGTCATCAGTGCTAGGGTGACATCGAAGAGAAGGTCATTTGAAGAGGAAATAAAGGCATGTGGGCAAACGTGGAGCCAAGTGAGAACGTTGCCGAAGAACTGAACGCAATTGAGAAGCCTTATGTTCTTCTAGGAACTAAAGGAAACAATAATATTAATAATATAATTTAATTTCAAGTTCATATTTATGATATGACAATGTTATAAATAGTTACACCACAAATTAAATAACACTCATAAAAACATCTTACTTGTTCCGAAGAGACTAGTGGTTCTGAGTTCATTCTTCTAAATAAACCGTTTACACTATATATGTACAATCAACTATAAAAAGAGATAAAATAAGGTTTATTTAGAGTAGAATTATCATTAGTAAATTAAAACTATATTCAAGATGTTGTTCATTATTAAAAGAAGGCATAAAAGATCCTTCTAATTCCTATTGGAACACACGGTTTCAAGCTTGCTTGAGTTTTGAAATTCCAATAGCGATGATACTTCTTTACATGGTAGGGTTGTTAATCTCAAGCCAAACCTTCCACCTTTACTGGTTAGGAGAGGTTTAGGAGTGCGTCCCGCCGGAAATCGAACCCCAGATAACCTGCATGGAGTACGGAAGCATTCTTCCGACGAACCACCAACCCCTAATACATAAGATTAGCACGAACATTATCCCACAATCACTTATGATTATTTTGAATATTTGAGGTAGGTGACTTCAAAATGATACCCAACCTCACCTGATTTAACTTTAAACTGAAAAAGGGTATTAGTTTAAAATTCGAAGTTCGCTACCTAATAAGACGTCAACATCCAGCGCCAGTCACCATCAACGGGAGGGATTTGAAAGAGGTCACTTCATTCACTTATCTAGGGAGCATTGTGTCAACCACAGATAGTCGGAACGGACGAGGATGTCAAATCGAGCGAGAATCGGGAAGGCGAGAGACACATTCATTCATCAACCTGAAACCAATCTGGAAATCTTTGTCACTCAGCATCAACAACAAAATTCCGTCGGATTTTCAATACAAACGTCAAGTTAGTTCTTCTATGCGGATCAGAAACTTGTCGGGAGGATCACAAAGAATATTTCCAAAAGCCTGTTGCAGGCCTTTATCAACCAATAACTGTCTTCGCTGGATCTATACTGAAGATTAGATGGCCGGCCGGGCCGGAAAGAATCACCAACAAGAAACTATGGGAAGGAACAAACAAAACAAGAAACAATCACCCAAGAACAGCAAATATGCAGGAGAAAGTGGAGATGGATTGGACACTCGCTGAGAAGGCCGCTGGGTGACATCGCGCGCCTCAGGCCATTGCTCGAGTGGAACCTGGCCGAAAGGGAAGCGGCGAGTGGGACGTCAGTGCAAGGGTGACATGGAGGAGATCGTGTGAAGCGGAGTTGAAACATAATGGACTTACATGGATGCAGGTGAGAAGTACAGCAGAAGACAGAAGCAGGCAAGTGGAGACGTGCAGCTGAAGCCCTATGTTCCACTAGGAACCCAAGGGAACAATAATAATAATATAATAATAAATGTCCTTGTTTGCGTCCGGTGGAACAGCGGTAGAATGGTTTCCGACCATGCCAGACGTGGTTCAGGGTTCGACCCACGGCCACCGACACACTCCTTTACCTCGCTAAACTGGAAGTAGGGTTGGCAAAGAGCAAAGACTGAGCTAGGTGAGGCTAGCAACCCCATCCTGTAAAAATAAATACCACTACTATTGAAACTTCACGCCTCTAGCTTGAAGCCCCCCCCCCGCATGTTCCCCTGGGAACGTAAAGGAATAAAATAAAATTGTTCTTGTCTAGGAGTGATAAACATTAGTAACAAAGAATAAATAGTGAAAGATACCTAATTAAGGAAAAAATCGGTAGATCACTTTGAAAGACTCTTGAACTGACAATTCTACAACACACTGGCAACTCAAGCAGAATAGGCATGGCGCAGGTAAAAGATACCACAGAAGACTATATCAGGTAACCAGATGAAACCTGTAAAAGATGGTCAAAGGAACCTTATTATTAAATACGGACTAAAAAACAATGGGACGATCACTTCAAAAGACTCTTGAATAGACCGTCATCTTCAACTCGTCCAGAAAAACCACTAGCAGCAACAGAATTGCCAGGGAACACCGACAAAAGTAGAAGTTTTGAGTGTCACAAAATTAATGAAAACCAGACGGAATTTACTCTACCCCCCCTCGCTCTCGCAGAAGCACTGAAAACAAACAACGACGAGACCTCAGCAGACATGCTTTGAACACTATTGCAGAAAGTTTGTAAGGAAAGGTACCTGTCGTTTGTAAGAAGGACTACCTTGTCAAACTATCAAGGAAGGGCGACCCAAGTCTTTACGAAATATCACACAGAATCATGTTTCTTTCCATTCGACGTAAAGCATTAACTCACATCATCCCGGAGAGACTGGGTGTAAAACTCCGTCCAGGAGAAGGTGAATTCAGGAAAAGCAAAGTGCAATGCTATGCATCACCATCGAAATGAGCATTGAATGGGTTTCAACTATTTATCTTAATTACATAGACTTTGAAAATGCCTTCTACAGCGTCAACGGACAAGTAATTTGACAAATGCTTCAACACAACAGAGTGCTCCAAACCAAAGAATGTCAAAAAATCCCTAGAAACCTCGCGATGAAATCAATTTGCAGTTAACAGACATAGGGATACAGATCAGACGTATCAATCAAGAAAGAACAAGTCAAAAACATCAAATATCTGCTCAACAAAACAACATTAGTAAAAGTGAATACTCTCTTAAGAAAACTTTGCAGGACAACCGATTACTATAAATATCATCACCAGGGAAGTTGGATAGCTCATCTATGGAAAATTCTAAAAAAATTCATTTCATATCGAGGCTATCTGAACATGTCATTGTAAAGGCCATTGAAAGCTCTGCAAACAAACTATCCGATATTCAATACACCCATGTGAACTACAAAAATTCCTCGATTATTTTAACACTACGATTCATAATTTTCTTGATGAGAACCTGTCTTTCAAGCCATAAGACATTGATTACAATTCATCTGAACCGGTGTATCACGGGTTCGAACCCCACTCCACCTACCAAGGTTCGGTCAGCCAGGTATCAGTCAATGAAACCCATAACAGTTAGTTTAAGCCAACCAGCGAGCCACGTAGGGAGGTGTGGACTGGATGGCTGACTGGATGGGGTCCTCAGAGTGCCAAGAGCCAATGGCTCAATAAAATTGGTGATATGGCTCAAAATCTTAATGATGGTGAAGATCCATTCACTCTCTGTGAATTGTCATATCCGATAAAACTCCAATTTTTCCCTCACACTTCTATTCATAATGTCTGCTTACTCTCTTCTTTTGTTTTATGTGCTACATGGAGAGTTTCAGCTGAACCTGCTGAACATCTATTTGTTTAAAGTCCTATGTTGAAACTAGTCAGTCAGCAGTCAGGTAGAACTAATGGACCTCACGCATAATATTTGTGTGGCTCACTGCCACCTGCATGGATATTGGAGTAACACACCACATTTGGCACACTTTCTATTCAACAGAAATTCATAACTAAATCAAGAAACAAAACAGTGTTCACTAATCCATACAGATTCTTAGTATTCATGTCAGTATACACATTATATGTGTCGGTAGAACAGCGGTAGAATGCTAGCCGACCACGCCGCGTGTAGTCCGGGGTTCGATCCCTAGCCATCGACGCATTTCTTTACTTCACTAAACCAGTAATAAGATTGGGAAAGAGGGAAGGTTGGGCTAGGTAAGGCTGGCCAGCAATGCCATCCGGTAAAAATAAACACCACTGCTACCGAAACTTAAAGTCCTTAGCTTGAGCCCCCACCTATGCTCCACTAGGAACGTAAAGGAATAAAAAACGCACAGATACACACACGTTAAGGGAAAAGATTGGCCTAAACCAAAATTTATCAAACATGAAAACTACGTTAAAATAAAAATCCCATGGAAAATTCTCATTGTAACATATAGAAAATCAAAACAAGTGGTCTGTCTGTTTTCGACATAGAACTTTGCACAAATGTGCGGCAGTTCAAGTCGCCACACTCCCTCCTTGTAGCACACAAAGGAAGAGAAGAAAGTACAACAAATGCATAATAGAGACAGTAAACAGAGGTGTGATACAAAGGAAAAGTAGTAATGAAGAACAAAACAGTTTCGTTGGAAATCATAAGCCATAAGGAATGGATGCATCTGCGCAAACCATCACCGCAAACGATTTTGAGCCATATCACCAATTGTTTTCAATCATTGGTTTTCACCGTCCCGAGAACCCCAACAAGGAAGTCTACACTTTCCTGTGTGGCTCAAGCTAACTGTTGTGGATTTCATTGACTGGTGGGGCCATGTTTTGGTTTGACCGCTGCTAGCTCTTTTCCAGCTTGACCCTGTATCCGCTAACATTTCCCGTTGTTGAGGAAGGCGATGACTAGGCGTACGTAACACATGTCCTAACCATCTCAGTCTTTGTAACTTCACAACTTCGTCGATTGATTTCCCCTGTTTACCTAGCATTCGACGCCTAACCTCAATGTTGCTGACACTGTTATACCACTTCACACGGGAAACGGAACGCAGGCACCTATGGTCAAAGACAGCCAGTCAATATTTTCATGTCCTCCTTTTTCAGTGGCCAGGTCTCAATCATAAAGGTGGACGGAGCGGACTGATGAGCAGTACACTTACCCTTTGGTCGATAGTCGGATATCTCGTCTACACCAGAGACGGCGTAAACTGGCAAGTGCGAAACGAGCCCTCTGTATCCGTACTCAGCTGAGATTTCCTCAGAGATCAACCTGTTGGGGCTGATGGTACTTCCCAAATTAGTGAAGTGGTCAACGTGCTCTAACACTCCACTCCCTATTTTTAAACTAGGAGTCGTGGTAGTTCAGTCCTGTAACTTCATCTTGCATTTGGCGGGAGCGAATCGCATGCCAAAACATTTGCAGATTGCAGCTCAAGATGTTTAGAAGACACTGCATTTTTTCAGCGTCCTCGCCTAGAAGGACTATATCGTCTGCATATTCTAAGTCAAATAGAATAATTCCCTGGTAGCAAGTCAATCCCCGAGTCGCTGAAGTCACTTAGGGTTAAGTCCATTAGTACATCTATGATGAAGTTGAATGGAAAAGGGGATAATGGGCATCTTCGACGGACACCACTGGTCGTCACCAGTTCAGATGACAACTCGCCGTAAGCCCTCACCCGGCTGTATGAGTACGAGTAGAGTGCCTTAATCAGTG